CGGCCCCTGAGACCTGAACCACAGACACGTATCTCCTGCCTGTTCTGCCCTTCTTGACCTCTGCCCCTGATGACAGTGATTAGTTGACTGTTTCAAAATAGCTAGTAGAGGGCATTTTTGACTGTTCCCAATGTTAAGTCTGAGGTGATATCTATGCCAGTTACTGTAATCTGATTATTATGTATTATGTCACACTGTTCCTCATAAATATGTGCAATTGCTATGTGTCAGTTAAATTTTTTTAATGTAAAAAAGCCAATCTTAACAGTACAGGTGACTTATATGCACAGCAGAACGTGTGGCTGGTATAAACTGAGAAAATTGCCACCAACCCAACTCACACAATGGGTGTGTCATGAAATTTCATCCGTTGGTGTGGTCCAGCTCTGTCAGTGAATCGAGTAACCACAGCATGACATTTCTGACACAGCCTCAGTGTTGGTGGCACTTGGCCAGAACTCAGTCTCCCCTGTGTGCATGGAATGGACCCAAATATGATGGTTTCCCTCAGTCCCCCAGGGAGACCACTCCCCACCATCTCCACACTGCCAAATGCCTGTTCCTGGACAGTCAACTGCCATGTTGGGAGCATCAGAAAGAACCTATTGGGGTCTTGATGTTGCTAATGTTAGGGAGGGGTAAGGATCAGGTAGAATGGGGTGGAGATACCCTTTATTATGGTTTGAAGCTCATGTCATGAACATTGGGCCCCAGCTGATGGTGCTGTTTTGGAAGGTGGTAGAAATTGGGCCTGGCTGGCTGAGGTACGTCACTGGGAGCCAGCCTTATGGGATATCATCCATGTGGTTCAGCTTCTCTGAGATATGAGCAAGCAGCCCCCTGCTTCCACTTCCATAGCCATGAAGCCACTAGCTACTTTGTCTTTCCAACCATGATGGACTATGTCCCCTGAAACCATGAGCCAAAAGCAGTCCTTCCTCCCTTACATTTCTTCTCCTCGGGTATTTGGCACAGTGATGAGAAAAGTAACATATATATATATATATATATATATATATATATATATATATGTTATAATACATATAATAATATATATATATTACCTCATGTAGTCACTCAGTAAACATTGTTGAATCCTGACTGCTCCGTACTGCTCCAAGTACTGGGGATATGATGGTGACCATGCTGACAAGGTCCTGGACCTGGGCAAACACATACACTTGGACATAATATTATATTAGGTAGGAAGGTAGTGAGATGGGAGTTTGGGAAGACCTAGCCAGGGAAGGGACAGTGGGCAGAAGAGAGGAAATAAGTCACATGGAGATCACAAGGCCAAGATGGTCTTGCACCCAAAGAACAGCTAAGTGCAAAGGCCCTGAGGTGGCAGCAGACCTGGTGTGTTTGAGGCCTAGCTGAGAGGCCGATGTTTTCAGAGTTTCGAGATTGAGTAGGAGATAGAGGGTCAGACAGGGATCACCTGTGGGTCAGGAGTGGGGTCCTGGCTCTGGAGAGGTCTTAGACTCTGAGATGCTGGAAGCCCTTAGGGTTCTGACACTGAGGAATGATGGGTAGTCTTGTACTATGACAGGAGCACTCTAGCTTCTGGGGTTGAGTGGACAGGTGAGTAGTCAGGAGCCATTTGGTTTCCTAGAAGAATGCATGCGGTGCTAACAGGTGATCTGTGGATGCCTGTAGTGGTCACTACTGAGAGACCTAGAAGATTACCCTGTAGAAATGGAACTCAGGGGCTGGAGACATGGCTCAGTGGTTAAGAGCACCAGATGCTCTTGCAGAGGTCCTAGGTTTGGTTCCCAGCACCAATACGGTGACTAACAACCATTTATAACTCCAGTTCCAGGGAATCCGATGCCCTCTTCTGGTCTCTGTGGGTATTGTATGACATGGGTGTACTTACATACATGCAGACAAAATACTCATATGCATAAAATAAAAGTAAATAAAGAGGGGCTGGAGAGGTTGCTCAATGGTTAAGAACACTGGCTGCTCTTGCAGAAGACCTGGGTTCAATTCTCAGCACCCACATGGCGGCTAACAACCATCCATAACTCAAGTTCCAGGGAATCTGATACTCTCTTCTGACCTCCGAGGGCACTTACATACATGCAGGCAAAACACTCATACATATAAAATAAAAATAAATTAAAAAAATTTCCATCATTAAAGAAAGACAAAACAACCAAAAAAATGGAATTCAGTCCGAGCCCTGAGGTGGGGGTGGGGGGTAGGGAGAGGTACTTGGGCATTTTGCTAGGCTCCTTGGGTAGGATATGGGACCTACGTTGCTCCCAAAGGTTCTACTGGGCATGTGCCGTTTACCTAATGCTTTTTCCTTTTCCCTCCTCTGATTCATAAGCCATTCATCCTCTGGCTTTCTGGAACCTTCCAGGCTTCCCCTCCTGCAGGCCTGTGCTTGCCTGCTCTATGTACTTCTCTCACTGCTCCACCATCACTTAAGCAGGAAATCCCCTTCTTTTGACTTGTTTTTGTTTCTTTGTTAGAGACAGGTCTCACTCCATAGCCCAGACTGACCTAAAACTCACTATGTAGCCTAGACTGGCTTGGCATTCACAGCAGTCCTTCTGTCTTAGCCTCCAAGTGCTGGCATTGTAGACATGAGCCACCACGGCTTGACAGTCTTTTCTTTGGTGCTTGTTTGCCCCCCACACTGCAGGTTCTAGCAGGGCTGGCCCTGGCTCTGTTTCCCTTATCCCCCATCTGTCGCCTCCAGCAGAGCACCTGGCATAAGGTGCTCAGGGCACTCTTGTTGAATAAACAAATCAGGAGTGAGCAGGGAATACCACAAAACCAGAGACTCAGCAAGGGAGGCAACCGACCTTATTCTTAGAGAAGACGCACCAATAGGAACAGGCCTTGCATCGACTTAGAAGGCAAGGGACTCATATACCCCTGGTATGTAAGACATGAAGATCCTGATGCTCTGGACTTGTGAACACACTTAGCTTTTCAGATGAATCCTAAAATGTACAAACACACACACACAGAGAGAGTGTTTATGTGATAATACCATGCTTTTTAAAGTTGAACTTTTTATAAAAGTATTTTATTTATTCTTATTTCATGTGTGTGAATGTACTGTCTGCATGTATGTAAGTGCACCCATATCATGCAATGCCCGTGGAGGTCAGAAGAGGCTGTCGGATCCCCTGGGACTGGAGTTACAGACAGTTGTTAGCTGCCATGTGGGTGTTGGGATTCAAACCCAGGTCTTCTGCAAGAACAACCAGTGTTCTTAACCACTGAGCCATCTCTCCAGCTCCAACAATAATACTTCTAATACAGAGCATAGAGATAGCTTTCAAACATAAAAATCACACTTCAGGATACTTATACAAGTTGGGGCAAGACCAAGAACTAATTAAATTTTTATTTATTTATTTAATTTTATTTTTTACATGTGTGTTTTGCCTGCATGTATGTAAGTGTACCCTGTGTGTCCACAGAGGCCAGAAGAGAGCATTGACCCCCCTAGAACTGGAGTTGCAGACAGTTGTCAGCTGCCATGTGGGTGCTGAGAACTGGACCTAGGTCCTGTGTAGGGGCTAATATTTTGATGGCCACAGTTTTTTCTTTCTTCTTTTAAAAGAATTATTTTTTCAAGGGGCTGGGGAGATGACTCAGCAGTTAAGAGCACTGGCTGCTCTTACAGAGGACTTGTGTTCTTTTCCCAGACCCACCTGGCAGCTAACAACCGTCTGTAACTCCAGTTTCAGGGGAATCTGACCCCTCTTCCGTCCTCCACGGGCATTGTATGATACAGGTGCACTTACATACATGCAGGCAATACACTCATACACAAAATAAAAATAGTATAAAAGAATTCTTTTTTCAAAAGATTTATTTTATTGTTATTTGTGATCTGTATCTGTGTATGTATATATATGCATGTGCATGCATGCAGGTGCCTTTGGAGGTCAGAAAAGGGGCCATCAGATCCCCTGGAGCTGTAGTTATAGGCAGTTGTGAGTGACCCAGTGTGAGTGCTAGTAACCAAACTCGGGTTCTCTGCAAATGCAGCAAGCACTCTTAGTTGCTGAGCCATCTTCTTAGCCTCCCACAGTTTGGTCTTGAGGAAACAACTCAATGAGCTGAGCCAGCATTGAAATCAAGACCATGTTGATAGAAGTTACAACATGCTCAGTTTGGTTTCAGTGAGACCCTCCCATCTCCTCCTCTCATGGCTTTCCTTCAACCTTTAACTTTATATATATA